CAGCGCGTGTTCGTTCCCCACTGCATACACCTGTGGTCCGGAGTTTTGCAAATATCTCAGCACTTCATACGAGGTACAAATAAGTTTTCTAAAACCATCTCTTAATTTGTAGTGCGGTCTAAACTTGAGTTAGAGGAAAACCTGGAGCTAAAATTTTAAATTCTTAAAGTTTTTTCACTCGAGCGCGGTGGGCGTTAACATCAAGAACACTTTGTACGTATCACTGTGTCCTGTTTCACGAAATCCCGACTGTTCAGTCGCTTCGATGTACGAAATAAAATTCAGAACAAGCAAAGTTTTTTTTTTACAAAATGCATCTCACGAGCCCCAAAGTAGAATTTTGTTACAGTAGGACAAGAAACATGGGGCGACATGGGCGCGTGTAGCGGAGTGGTGAGAGGTGCTCTGCAAATACACATGGAATCGTTCTCCACGCCCTAAGCCCACCAAGCCTTCCATCCTTCCGGAGTTGGCAAATTGGTACCAGACTTGTCTGGGAGGATAGCAGCACTAGTTCGATACATCGGTACACCACGGCGAGTTATTGTAAAGGGCAGATATCCATTCAATCACCTCCAAACGTTGCTTAACGAAGCCGAGTGCATGGTCCATCCCTAAGGGATTGATCAACGCCGACAGCTTTATCTTTTATCTTTTTTAGAACAAAAAAAGGTGTCCGGTTGGTAAAAAGCTGCAAGCTCTACTGTTGTTTCAATATCAATAAAATTCGTTATGAGCGTAATTATCTTTATCCAAATTTGAGTGGTGTTGTCAGTTTGTGGCGCTCATCCACAAATGCCAATGCTTGTCGGTTATTGTTGGATAAAACAGCTTCTTTATGCTGGTTCAATAGGTGGATCACTTCTGGTGAATATATCCAAATGTCCGGACGAGCTGGTCGACGAGGAAAGGATGATCGTGGTTTGGTAATTCTGATGGTCGATCACAAAATGAGTAGTGACGACGCTAAACAAATCATAAAGGTCAGGTTTTCATTGCATTCCTAATCTTTCAGAATGGTGTCCGTGTAATACATTCTATTGGGTTGTTTTTCCAGCGTTTTCTTTTAAATTACGCAATGTTTGTCGCTCGAACTTCTTTAGGCATTCAATGCAATTCTGTATACTTTTTGTATTTTATATGCAAATACCTTTACCCTTACATTACAGCGAACTCTGCTTTGCTCAGACAGCAAACATTTTAAAAATATTCTTGTGTTGATAAACTAACACGTGATTGATAAAGAAATTAATTCGACTGACGTTTTCGCGCCCTTGACTTCCTTAGAGCCGGATTGTTCATAGTTCTTCCTTCCTCCGATGTGGGTCTTCGTGATCGCATCGAGTTGAAACCGGTGGAGCATCGCTCGAATGTGGAACCTCACTTGGCAATGCTGTTTGATACAGGATGATTGTTTTTGATGTTGTTTGTCCGTTGATAACAACGTGTTTTTTTCTGGACAATACAGCTTACAATAGGCGGTGTCATTATCTGCTAGCACAGAGCGTAACGATATTTCAAAAACTCCCTTTCCTTTAGCCTCAGTATTACTAATCAACATGTATTCTTTCATTGTTGAGCTAACACGAGGTAAGGAAAGGAAATTTATTTGGCTAATGTATTTTTTCTAACTATCAGCAGCAATGGAAGGGCTCGTGTAGAGAAGTGGTCGGAGGCGTCCTGCAATACACATGGAATCGATCCCGCGCACAAGGCTCACCTGGCCATCCATCCCTCTGGCGTCGGAAAATTATTTAGTACCAGACTTGTCTGGGATGATAGCAACACTGACTCGATACATCGATACGCTACCGTGAGTTATTGTATAGGCCAAATATGTGTTTATTCACCTCTAACCACGCTAGACGACGTCGAATGTATGGCGCAAATCTCAGAGATTGATCAACGCCGAGAGTTTTATCCGTTATCTTTTATCTACGACAACCGTCCTCTACAAAAAAGCACTGCCCAGTGAGGTTCTTTATTCGAGCGGTGGTCCACTAGATTCGGCTTGATGCGATCATGGAGACCCGCATTGGGGGAACGAATAACTGTGAACAGTCCACTCGGATGAATCCGGCTCTGATGAGGGTGACGCCACCGAAACGTTACCTGGATGAGTTTCTCTATTAACCTCATCTTACCTTGCCAATGAAATACATACTGATTAGTGACATTGAGCTTAAACGGAAGTCAATTTTTGAAATACTTCTTAAATCTTGCTTTTTACAGGGAGCGGCTGATCCACTCAATTCACAATTTCGTCTCACGTACAATATGGTTTTGAACTTACTTCGAGTGGAAGGAGTCAATCCAGAGTTTATGTTGGAGCGGTCTTTCTATCAATTTCAGAACTTTGACGCTATTCCAGAACTACAACGAAGTGTGTTGGTTGTTTGATTGTTTCTTAAATCCCCACTCTGTTTATACAACTTTACCAGTTTTTTTCATTCAAATTCTGACCACTGATTAAGGTTAGCTGTGGTTAGCTTACATTGATAGTAACTCTGCTTGAAGCATCATGCATATAAAGATGCAATTTTAAGTATTCGCTCTTTGCGAATTAAAAGGAACTACCTGATGTTTCGATTTCGTATTAAATCTAATGGATTTCCACCTACGTTAAGAACACAGTGATATGTTAAACCGTGATTCCAGTCTTTCATCCAACGTGAACTCAATTTCAGTTATCAGTCACTGTACCTGGCATATGCCGCTGCGGCATGCACTACTAAAATTTTCTGGTTTTAGTCTTAAAAATGAAGTGAATGGGATGCAACCACTATGATGCTGAGATATTTGCAAAACTTGGACCTCAGATCCGATCTTTCAGCGACAACCCTTTCCGGGGTCTCACGTGATACGCACGGCACCACTGAGGTCTTTGTCTTGCGTTTCTCTTAGTCAGTTTTTTTTACCTAGCTCAACCATCAGCAGCTATCCGTCAAGTTGAATAATTTGGGGAGAGCAGCTCCATGCTAAGCATAGTTAAGCTTAGACTGGGTAATCGCGATTTGATCTGACCTGGGGTACAAGTTTTGCAAGTATCTGAACATCATAGTGATTGCATTTTACATCATACCACACCGTGAAAAATGATACTAGGCAGGAAGTAAAAAGTTTGCATTAAAATTAATGAGTTGAAAAGACTTATAACTGTTGTCTAGAAGTGAGTGAAAAATTGCACGAAGTGGACAATGTGCGTGTAGAGCATGAACGCGATGCAACAGCGTTCTTCGATATGGAGAAGCAGGTAGTGTTTGTTACTAGTATCGCTCGGGACTGTTTTATAGTTATTGATCCACGTGTACCATTTTAACTTATTTTTCTTTACTAGTCTTTTTTCATTGTGCGATTTATACCTGCAGATTGCAAACCTGCGGAAAACAATCAAGAAAACAATACACATGCCAAAATATCTTGTGCCTTTCCTCCATGTCGGTAGAATGCTCCATGTATGGTTTTATCTCTTAAATGTCTAAATAACAGATGAGCGAATGCTGCTCATAGTTTGTGAATCTGTTCTACTTTTCTAGATAGTTGTTGGTAGCCGAGATTTTGGTTGGGCCGTTTTTGTGAACTTCCATAAGAGAACTGATATAGACGACAGCACGCAGATGGTGTACATCCTCGAGGTAATTATTTCTTTCTTATTTTACAAATCAATACTCCGATCACTTTTTTTAGGTGTTTATGGAATACAAAAGCGGCAGCATTAATGACGTTGTTAGTTTAACGCAAATTCAACCAGCAACTGAAGGGGCACCAGTGCGTTATCTTTACAAATCCCACCACGTACTTCCTTCTTTTTTTTTGGATTTTCATCGTTTCAAATCTATTTAGACGTCATTTGATCTCGTACCTCTAACTTTGGATTGTGTCGATGAGATCAGTTCCCTTCGATTAAAGCTTCCACCAAAATTGGATTCAGATCACTCCAAAAGTGTTGTCCAGCAGATGGTTAAGGTGATTCGAAAGTTCTTCTTCGTTGCTAATTCTTCAGTTTCATGCTCGTTTCCTTTAACTACGTATTATACTGACGTAATTTTACACTATTTAGAGTTTGAAATCGCGATTTAACAATAATATCCCTCTTCTGGATCCCATCAAAGACATGCATATCTCCGAGCCGTCAATCATTCATGCTGTTGAAAAAGTCGCTGAATTGGAAGAACGTAGTAAAGAGCATCCGTTGCGGAAAATGAAGAATTTTAACGATATCAAGACGCAGTGGCTTTCTAAGGTTTGTTGCAAATTCGTGCCGCAATTCTTGCGATTGTGTAAGATTAAACATTAGATGTTAATCTAGAGGATTTCCGTGGTTATGTATTGGCTACAGGGATGGGTTATCACGCGATTTTGTTCTCAGGACCAGGCAAAACAGGAATACAAGACTCTGTGTGAGGAGTTACGAAAAGCGCAGTCAGTCCTGCAGCTGGAAGAACTTGGTCATAGAAAAAGACTGCTCCGCCGCCTTGAATATGCTGACAAATGCGACATTATAACTGACAAGGTGTGTGGAACAATGACTTATCGGTATTCGTGTATCCTTTATCAGAATTCGATGTTTTTGGTAGTGACAACCGTGCTGGATTTCTAACTAAAGTACTAGGTTGTTCAGAAATTGTTATACGATTTCAACATGCATCCCAGAAAACACGTCTTAGCCCAGAATGAGGTGATAATCAGGACAAGAACCATTAGGATCTACACATTTTTGCAAACGGGAACAAGTTTATAAGTCTCAATTACATGAAACTCTAGAGTTCAGCAGGCGAGGAAGCCGTTGAGTGCAGTTTCGGCCTCTGCTTTTTACTCAGGCATTTCTTACACAGAACGTTGTCAAGGTGCTTGAAGAAGTGGTAGTCGCGTGACTATAGTCGAGAAAATTTTGATGCATTTTATCATGGAGAAGAATTGATTTCTTTTTTTTTTTGGTCACATACGTTGAAACAAAAGGTGCATTTCATCGATTTTCAGGACGTACTTCGTAGCGATAATTGTTTAAAACGGATTCATAAAACTCTGATGGATCAAAATCTCCCAACGGTTTACCGCCTCATCGTATCTGGGAGGTGTTCCTGGATGTCGGACTGCGATGCAGAGCGGGGAGATTTATCCTCCCGGTAGGGTCTCCCAAGCTGAGAAATAGTTCGACATTTCCATCAGGAAGCCTAGCTAAGAGTAAACAGATACCAATATCGACCACCGTCCTAGTATCAAACCAGTCGCATGGTGGCAAATACTCTCTGATCCACAAATGCGGCGACCGGACCGCTTGTGATGCAACCTGGGGCAGCCTTTGGCCAGGTTGACCTCGGGTCTCTAGGGAAAAGCAATAGCTAAACCAGCAGAGCTCGTAAAAATGGAGATCATGTTGGGGCCTGCACAACTAGTGGGACGAGGCATCTAAGCATCCAAGATGGATCAAAACAGCGGTAGACCACTAAATGGTCAGCATCATCCTCTTTTGGTCTAAGTTCGGCTTTTGGAAGTGCTGCGGAGGTTCATTGTGGTTCAAACACTGAGCCGATCGTCCCCAGTTGTTACACTGGCTCTGCTTTTCGTGGGGTTTTCGTGAATGGTTTGTTCGAGAAACTTTGTTCTGGATGCGAAGAAAATTCTCCGACAATACCTCAACGCTTCTTAATATCATTCGTGCGGCGTCTATTTCCTGATTTTCTTTGATTTTCCAATTTTCTTTAGACTCTTCGAAACAGATGAGATGCATATAACTAGTTCCTTTGCAAACTTTCGAATACTTATGAATTTGCATGCTTCTACTAAAGCCTTCAATTCATTGTCGCGGAGGGATGTCTGCGACTTCCCTCATCTTTAACGTCGAATTCGTCATGAGAAAATTTATAAACGAACGTCGCTTTGTGCATTCGCTAACACTGCATTGGTCCCACCTATATCTCATTAATGTTTTGAGCCATTCACGATCGTTCAAGACGACGGAGTTTGAATTCGTGGAAGTAGATTCATCGGATTTGCTATTTTGACGTATAGAATTCTTACCTTCAAACTTTTCCAAAAGAACGATTTATACTGTAATTCAACTACACAAAGCGAAGAATTGCAAATCGATCATTATTCCTCGAATAATTCAGCACTTTAGGGATTGGGACTTAACAAATGTAAGAATGAGCCTTTTATAGCCTAACAAATGTAAGAAGAGATCTTATTGTCGCCTATGCATTGTTGAACCTGAGACCGCAGAGATAGGTGTTCTCGACCCGCTGCTATACTTGCGAAATTCCGTTTCCGGACGGTGGAATGGAATTCGTTGATATAAAAAAATGATGGGAACACAGAAGTACACTTCAGTTATCGTACAAAACCATGAGGAAATCTAATAACGCCGTGTGTAAGCAATGGACTTTTTTCTCGTCATGCACAGGAGTTAGTTATGGTCTAAGAACATGGGAACGTACACACAAGTGCACAAAGGGTACTTAGAAGCTGGAATGACGAGGAATGTATGTGAGTGGACCGAACGATAGAGCGGTAACCTCAAGAAACTGCACCATTTGACTTCGGTTTTTGACGGCTGTCGCGAACCGTGCGTCTTGATTTCGACGCTCGTTTCTATCGCTCTTTGGTGAAGCAAGCTCCGATGGACCTGGCACGCAAAATTGACCGCACTTGTGAAGAGGTTGATCTCATTCATTGAATACTTGCATTTAACATGTTTTTGGTAAATTTAATAGAATGTTGGTGGTAAAAATCTAATTTGACTGCAGCGGCGATGGAAATCAGTGGTGCATCCGGATTGTCATCCCGTCCTTTAATATGATGAAATTCTGGACCACAATCTTGTTTTCAGAACGCTTATGTTCCCACGTTTTTGCTTCATTTAGTAAAATGCACTATCAACTGAAAAATACGTTTGAGCTACGTATTGCCTCATTCGGCGGCACGCGTCCAATCCGTCAATTAACTCTCGTCATTGCATAAATTTACCAGAAACCAATACATCCTTCAATGTAAATTGATATTTTTATTAAGTCATTTGCGACCGCTTGACCTCTAGAAGTGTTATTTCTAATGAGATATTGTAACGAGTATAGATAGCATCTATATCCATGTAGTGGTAGAACGTGGTCTCTTTTACAGTCATGTCATATTACCAATACTTGAAGTCTTCTGTTTGTCCAGATATTGTTGTTTATTGCCGAAAAGCCAGCAGGTCAGTAACATCCGAAAACTACGCGTTCCCCATTTCATGGCCTCAGAAAATCGGGCTGATTGTGAACGTGTTAATAAACTTGCATATTTCAGCACATTTTCCATATTACGGTTCTTAAGAAAACTATTTTTCCGTTTATTCCCTAAAAGTCGCTCTCTGCCAATCACATTGGTTGGCGATTGCCTATTGGAGAGTTGTTTGTCATCTACTGACTAGTTGAATTCTTGGGCGTTAGAAATTTATGAAATTAATTTGTTACTTGCTAGGTTAAAAGGCCAGAATATTTGTTTTTCTCCAAATGCTTTATCGCATCTTCCAACGGGCACTTTATCTCTCAACAGGTCTTCGCAAGCTAACGAGTCCAAGATTTCCATCTGGAAACGCAGTCACAAGTCACTCAATACTGGGAATCACCGCCGTCCTGGTATCAAATTAGTCGCTTGATGGCAAATCTCCCTCTGATCCTGACGACTGTCTGTGGTGACAACTCAAGGAAAGTTTCGGCTAGACTCTCATTGGGACTCCAAAGAACCACATATAACTCAGCTAGCAGCTAGCAACGATCCAATCTTATTATTCCAAATTCCGCGCACTGCTCGTCCCTGTCTACGACGTTGGGGATGGGGGACAAGTGATGACATATCAATCTCGAGTTGCCCAGGCTTTATTGGAAGCGGGCAAAACGAGCCCGCCTGTTATTTGCTATAGTGAACGTTCTTGCTCTGCAGTGTAACACCAGAGCGGTCTCCTCAGATGTCGATCTTTACGCTGTTCTTAATGACCATGGCGGTATCAAATTCCTTTTGATTGCTTAGCAAAAGGCGTGCATAAGGAAGGTCAACATATCCAAATTAGATAATAGGATCCTTTTCATTTGTGAAGAGTTCCGTTGCAAAATGTTGTGATGTTGGCTTTATCGTGTACACTAGTTTGCTTCCCATCAGGTCACCACATATGAGATCCTTTCACCTCACTCGGCCGTTGTTTCTTTCCAAACTCCTCGTCGGAACACAGTCAATACCATCAACCGCTATTCATCAACTTGTCCAGCTGATGATAGCAAACTAGAGGCGTTCTACGTCCAGTTCGAAGAAGTAATTCGCAACGAAAAATTTTCCTATAAATTATTCGTTAGAGATTTCAACGCCAACTAAGGAATCGTTTTGTAGAACTGCTGTCCGCTGCTTCTCTTCCATGGAAAGTGATTTTTTGAGAAGCGAGAAAATCGTCGATGGACATGGGAGTCTTAACGGTATGACTCATGCGGAGATCAATAGTATGCTCACGAACAGGAAATAGTGTCTCTTTGACATCTCGGTGGTACCCATATTTCGTTCTGGACCTTCTCACGATCATCTCTTTGCGGTGATTTTATTCAGCTACAGACTTGAAAAGAACCGTCATCGTCTAAGGAAAGTAAAGCAGGTCGTATATCACGAGGACATTCTCAATAAAACCCTTTCCTCACATGACTGATAGATAAAGGAAGACCCGACCGAGGACTACAACCTTGAAGAAATTGTAACTTGTACTGAACTTCTCTGTTCCTCATAAGAGAAATTCAGACCGCATCTCCATTACTACTGAGTTTCTCGAAAGGAGAAAAAAAATTGTAGTTTGGTTCTTCTGCAACACACATAGCAGAGCTGATAATACACGCCACCTTTAGAAGACCTTTGCGTAAACATTTGCATCGGTATAGGTAGAAAAAGTTTTAGGAAGCAGCTTAAAAACGATTATTCTGAAGACCTGTGAGACTACAGTGTCCCATTGTGAGCTCTGATAAACGATGATAGGACTATCACCACGCCTCTCCGTGATATGCACTTGATGGCGGGAAAGTTCTGCGATCATGAAAGCTTTGTCCACTGTACAAGAGCGTTTGACAGCGTCTGAACCAATGCAGTTCTATCAGCTCTCGTCGACCAGTAAGTTTACCAGTCGTTTGTAAACAATGGAAGTACAGTTCTTCTATCGACGCTTTACAGTTTTTATAGGAAAATGGGTTCGATGACGCGATACCATTATCGCCAAAGCTGCTTGCAGCCTACATGCACTGGAAAATGTCACTCAGTTTGGAAGAGGAGGATGTACGCATGGTGGAAAATTCTTGCAAAATCTTCGTTTTGCTGATGACATTGTCATCTTTACGAGTAGTGCCATTGAAGCAAAGACGATGTTCAGTGAGCTCTACGAAGTGGAGAAAAAAAAAGATCGGACCGTGCATAAATAGGACGAAGGTCTAGTTCATAAAGAGCGTATGGTGAAATCGAAGAGATCGACCTGAATAGTTCATCGATTACAGATGCCACCTTGTACTTGTACCTTGGTTGTTCAACGAGCGTGAATATCATGAAAGACAAGTTATACATAAGAAGGTATGTATCATAAGCTGCATTCGGATCTCTCAAAGAAACCACGAACCATTTACGCAGCAGGCCACCACCACTGGTGACAATTGCGCGAGAAAGAAAGAGTGAAGAATGTGCTGGTGCGCACAGCACTGGTAAAGGCGGTAGCCAAATATCTAAGCATCAATTTCCTAACAGATTATTACAAAGAGCAATTAACCTTCGTCTACTATACGGTGAAGTTCTACACTTACATCGGATACTTGTGCGACCACAATAAGAAAACAAGTCATTGAGGTGAAATCTTTGTTTTTGTTAGCAGATTTCAGGAAACTGTTCTTTGATACTCCATAAATTTGAGAAAGATGAAATATTTAGAACTCCTGTATGTATCCTTATCTTAAAACTTTGAGGGGCGTTGTGCCTGTGAACTCTCTGCTTCTGATGAGTTGATGTTGACTGAAATGCTTTACGGAGGTGTATTCACAGACCTTACACCTGCTCAAATCGCCGCCCTTCTATCTTGTTTTGTGTTTCAGGTTTGTGGTAAATTTTTTTCATCGTTTATAGTATGGGCACAGTACTTCATTAGGTTTTTTTTTTTACTTTTTGAACAATTTCTTTAACGTTTTACTATAGAGGTGTTAGTATGAGTGCATTAGTCGTTTAGGAAAGCGCAAGAACTCCTAAATTAGCTGAGGAGCTGTCCGATTGTCTTCGAAAACTTCATGTGAGTGTATTTTTCACCACCAAGATTTATGTGGTCTACTTCGAATGGCACTGCCATGCTACTGGCGGAGTTCTTTTTAAGTTTTCATCTGGTGTTGTCCTATGTCAGTGACATTTTAAACGAAAATGCTCTGGTTACGAAATACTTCATTTCTGCACGGACGGCTTTGTTTTTTCACTGACTCGTGATACCGTACATATAGCCATACTCGGCTACCGCACGGAACTCTACAGGGTGCCAAATTGTCTGAAAGTTATATTAATGGCTGTTTTCGGCGTGATTTGCTCACCACTACAGGTCGCATTCTATCATTTGTATCATTTGAATTCCTAACTATTTTCAACAGTTCTGTACTAAAATGTCGAGGAAGGAAACAACTTTTGTAAAGTCTGTTTTTAGGAGTACGCTCGACGGATTGCCAAGTTGTCTGTTGAGTGTAAACTTGATATCATTGAAGACAAATATGTTGAATCCTTCAAGCCAGGAATGATGGACGTTGTCTACCAATGGGTCAATGGCGCCTCGTTTGGAGAGATCGTAAAGAATTCTGATATTTTTGAAGGTAAACACCTTAGGTCTCGATGTTAAATCATGGGGGTGTTGAACAGCTTGTACCAGAAGACCATCCTCAATAACTAGTTGGGGCTGACTCCAGGCAGCGCTGTGTGAGCGCTGATCTATCAGTTAACCTCTCTACAATGTGCCGCTCGTGGCCAACTATCCTGCTGCGACCGGACTACATTCAGTTGTTGTCCATGATGAATTGAACCGCTGTTCTAAGACATATTTAGTCGGTCCATCAAACAGGCTCTGTTAATGGCAAACCGATGCAGTGCGATTGACCTATTATTGCTAGGAGTTGAAATCAGTTTAGTAAATACTATTAGTTATTTAAGGTACATATGATTCAAATAGTTTGGTTATTTTTCTCTTTAGGCTCGATCATTCGATGTCTTCGTCGACTAGAAGAGGTTCTTAGGGAGATGGTAAATGCGGCGAAGGCGATGCAGAATCCGGAACTGGAAGAGAAATTTGAAGAAGCTCGGCTTCGAATCAAGAGAGATATTGTGTTTGCTGCTTCCTTATATCTCTAAACTTCTATTGATTGTCTCTACTAGCCAGGTATTGCAGCATGTATATCAAGGCGTGTTCGCTCATTGTCTGTCCATTCCTTCTCGAATGAATCTGCGCGTCCATTTCACTTCCTGTGTAACACTTTCTTTTCCTGTTTTTTCTTTCTACCTCGAACCTTTTCTTTTCTTAATATTGGTCTCATCTACATTAACTATTCAGTTTATTTTTCTTTTATTCCTTTGGTTTTAAATTGTTGCTTTGGATTTACAATGTCAATCGAATATTCGTTATTGTTTATGTCCTCATTAATGCCCAGTGTTATGACAGAAGAGTTTGCGGAGCTCATCAAATAAATGATGCAACTTGTCCCTCACTTATTCAAACTAAATGTTGGTCATGGTAGGGAGTTATGTGAAATAGAGCCTTGTATCTCATTCAAGTGAATGGTATTTTACTTGGGAGGGAGTTTTTTTTTCGAAGTTTTTTGGAAATTAAGCTGAGTTATACCCCATGGAGCTATCGTATTTTCTTAGTTCGACAGAAAAGCAATGGATATGTTCCAGGTGTCGATGTTCAGCTAGAACCATTCGACGTCCCATTGTCTGATCTTGAGAAAGACACCGAACCTGTGACAGCATTGAATGAGCAATGTTCACGATTCCTGAATCATAGGTGTTAAAGATTGATTGCTGAAAAGTTCGATTTGGTGTCCGTCGTATACGTGGAAGGTGGTTGATCGCTTTTCATTTCCTGCTTTGCGGATACTTCTGTGGTACATCTAATATTACAACATACAACGAGGAGGTTCGAATTATCTGCGAGCGATATAGAACCTATTGTTCGGATGGAGTTTATCCTTCTGTAAACCATACATGTGATCGATTTTCTCAGGTTATAGTAGTGAATATTTTTAGACGTCATCTTAGTTTCGTTCGGTCTCATGGATTTTAGGTACTCACGCAATTTAAACCAGAATTCAGAATTCTATATTCCCTAAATTGATTTAAACCTGATTGTATGCTTGAATCAAGCGTTCCGAGAGGCTCGAGAAGTTGAACTTCCGAACAGGACGTAGTTGTGGTGAGAACCAGTGTTTGATGGCAGCTAGGGTCCGTAATCGGACTGGCCGCGTTCGAGTGGTTCTAATTTCAACTATAATAGTGTCAATTTGAAGCTAGGCGTGTTTTGCATTGCTCTTATTATCGTATTTGTCTACCCAAATCATTCCTGTGCTCGACCTAGATTCGAGGACAGATTTCATTCTGGAAGCATTCCGGACTTCTAGTTTGTTCTCAAAAAGCGCTGGCGAGATGCTATTCACACTGTAAGGAAACGTATCCCGTGCCAGTTTTTGTCATATTTTCCATAACGTTAAGGCTAAATCGTTTTTTTAACTACAGATGTGTAAATGCAGGCGAATGTCTACATTTGCAATGTATAGAGAACATTCTTTACGAATATTGGAATGTTCTCTATGTGAATTAATTATAACCTTATGTCAAACATTTTCGAAT